CCATTTTTAATTTTTTTTTTATTTTTTTAAATTTTTTTTTCAGGTGCGCGTTCGCCCGCACCCCGAAGGCGGAGCGAGCCCGGGAAGGGGGCGGGGTCGTGGTGAGCCCTGATTGGATCTGGGACTGCCAGAGGGAGGGGCGGAGACTGCCCTGCGGACCGTAAGCCACGCCCACTTTGTGCGGGACACGCCCAGTGCCACGCCCATCGCATTGGGGACACGCCCACCCCACTCTAAACAAACCCACGGCACTTGGGGACACGCCCATATTGTGGAGCACACGCCCATCACATTGGGGACACGCCCACCCTAATGGGGACACGCCCACCCTAATGGGGACACGCCCACTGCAGTCAGGGATACGCCCAATGCCACGCCCATCACATTGGGGACACGCCCACTCCACCCTGGACAAACCCACGGCACTTGGGGACACGCCCATATTGTGGAGGACACGCCCATATTGCAAAGGGACACGCCCACCGCATTGGGGACACGCCCACCCTAATGGAGACACGCCCACTGCAGTCAGGGACACACCCACTCCACCCTGGACACGCCCAATGCCACGCCCACCGCATTGGGGACACGCCCATTGCCACGCCCACCGCATTGGGGACACGCCCATTGCCACGCCCACCGCATTGGGGACATGCCCATCACATTAAGGACACGCCCACTGCGGGATGTACCCAATTTGGGACACGCCCACCCCATTGGGGACACGCCCATATTGCAAAGGGACACGCCCATCGCATTGGGGACACGCCCACCCTAATGGGGACACGCCCACTGCACTCAGGGACACGCCCACTCCACCCTGGACACGCCCAGTGCCACGCCCATCGCATTGGGGACACGCCCACCCCACTCTAGGCAAACCCACGGCACTTGGGGACACGCCCATATTGTGGAGGACACGCCCATATTGTGGAGGACACGCCCATCGCATTGGGGACACGCCCACCCTAATGGGGACACGCCCACTCCACCCTGGACACGCCCAGTGCCACGCCCATCGCATTGGGGACACGCCCACATTGCAGGGGTCACGCCCAATGCCACGCCCACCCCATTGGGGACACGCCCAGTGCATTTTTGGACACGCCCATCGCATTGGGGACACGCCCATCACATTAAGGACACGCCCACTGCGAGATATACCAAATTTGGGACACGCCCACTGCATTTTTTGGACACGCCCACCCACCCCAGGCCACCCCCACGTGTGGCCACGCCCACATAGGCCACGCCCAGATGAGCCACACCCACCCTGGGTCACGCCCACCATACATAGGGACACACCCATGTTGACCACGCCCCCTTTGGGACACGCCCAAATTGGCCACACCCCCTTGTTGGACACACCCAGATTGGCCACACCCACTCGGGGATGCCCCCTTTTGGCCACGCCCCCTGAGGCCACACCCAGCCTAATTTCTGACTGGTTCTCTCAAAGCCACGCCCCCCTTTGGGGCGGAGTTTGGAGCGGCCACACCCTAAAATGGGCGTGGCCTCACTCTCAGGTACCTCCTGGACGGCTCCGCCTCCCCCGGCAGTGAGGGGGAGGAGCCTGAGGACGCCCCGCCCCCTCCTGACCCCGCCCCTAAGGAAGCCACGCCCCCTTCAGCGCCGGCCACGCCCCCCGAATCCGACAGCGACGGCGAGGACCAATCAGAGGAGTGAGTTTGGGGTAAAAGGGGGCGTGGCCGCACCTTGGGGGTGTGTCCACACATTGTGGGCGTGGTCACACCTCTGGGGGGGGCGTGGCCACGGTCTGACCACGCCCCCTTGTTCAGGTTTGACCCCTACGGGGGCTCCACGGAGGAGAACAGCGAGGACGAGGAGGGGGAGGGGCCGCCCATCCCCCCCCTGCCGGGTGAGAGCCCCGCCCCCTTTCCCTTGGCC